AATTTGGGATTTTGGGGGTGTTTGGGAGAGCCCCATGGGGTTTCTGGTTTTTTCTAAGGGTTGTTTTGATTCACTGCCTGATTTTTCCATCATCCTGGAACTGGGACAAGGTGAGATCCCAGGATGTGAATCTTGACACACAAACCAGCCCAGCCTTCCCCTTCCTCTGGGATTTGCTGTTTAAATCCCAAATTTTACAGAAAACCCTTGGGGAGTGCAGAGCCCTGGGTACTCTCCCTGCAGAAAGAGCCAGGATCACTTCCTAAAACAGATTTTGTGTGGAATTAAATCTCAAAAAAAGCAAAAATCTTTCCTTGTGAAACTGGGCATTGACAGGGAGCAAATCTTTCTTTTTTTTTGGGTAAATTTATTGGGATTTTTTCCCTGCCTGTGCCAGTTTTTTTCTTATTAATTGATATAAAATCCCCCAGGTATCAGAGCTGAGAACCAGCACARGCTTTTTCCTTTTCCAATCAGAGCAAATAAATAATTTAATTGTGCAAATAACTCGGGGAAGGACTGGTGTGGTCACAGCCCCTCTGGGAACCCACAGGCCGAGCACAGCCTGACCCAAAACTCACACCAGGKCTCATTTTTAACCAAACAGGTACAATTTTAGCCCATCCTGAGTATTTTTTTCATTGCAAAACGTCCTCCAAACAGAGCCCTGTTGTGCTGTGACATTAAAAAACAAAAAGCAAGAAAAACTCGGTGTTTACTTTCCAGAATTTGTGTTTATTTTCTAGCTCAACGTGGATATTTTAATTTTTTTTTCCAGCTGGCTGAGTTTGGTGAATTTTGGGTAAACAGGAGCTGGGAGCTGCTTAATTGGCTGATGATATTTTCATTAAAGGGAATTAAAAGCACTTTTAATTTGCACAAAAGGGAATTTTTTTTTTTGGAAATACACAGGCAGAAACAGCTGAGATTGCAGCAGCACGAGGGGAAACCAAATCAGCCACAGAATCAGAACAGAATCAGCCAAAAATCCTCCTTTTCCTATATATAAATATATGTTTTTATAGATCCATGTGTGATAAGAGGAAGGGAATTTTGTATTATTTACATCCACTGGTGGAGAGRGGTGGGAGGGATTGATTTTGGTGTTGATGGTGATTGTTTTGGTTTTTTTTGATGGGTTTTGCTGTGGTGGGAAGGGGAGGGGACACTCAGGGTGGGCATGGGGCATTGAAAAATAGGGATGGGACATTCAGGGATGGGGTGGGATATTCAGGGATGGGAATGGGACACTCAAAAATAGGGATGGGACATTCAGAGGTGGGAATGGGACATTAAGGGATGGGAATGGGACACTCAGGGATGGAATGGGACATCCAGGGATGGGGAGGGGACATTCAGGGTAGGGAATGGGACACTCAGGGTTGGAATGGGACATTTCAGGGATGGAATGGGATATTCAGAGATGGGAATGGGACACTCAGGGATGGGGATGGGGCATTCAGGGATGGAATGGGACATTCAGGGATGGAATGGAACACTCAGAAGTGGGAATGGGACACTCAGGAATGGAATGGGACATTCAGGGATGGGGAGGAGACATCCAGGGATGGAATGGGACACTCAGGGATGAAAGGGGATATTCAGGGATGGGAATGGGACACTCAGGGATGGGAATGGGAAACTCAGGGATGGGAATGGGAAACTCAGGGATGGGGAGGGGGCACTCAGAATTAGGGATGGGACACTCAGGGTTGGAATGGGACATCCAGGGATGGGGAGGGGACATTCAGGGATGGGAATGGGACACTCAGGGATGGAATGGGACATTCAGGGATGGGGAGGAGACATCCAGGGATGGAATGGGACACTCAGGGATGAAAGGGGATATTCAGGGATGAAACTGGATATTCAGGGATGGGAATGGGACACTCAGGGATGGGAATGGGAAACTCAGGGATGGGGAGGGGGCACTCAGAAGTGGGAATGGGACACTCAGGAATGGAATGGGACATTCAGGGATGGGGAGGAGACATCCAGGGATGGAATGGGACACTCAGGGATGAAAGGGGATATTCAGGGATGGGAATGGGACACTCAGGGATGGGAATGGGAAACTCAGGGATGGGAATGGGAAACTCAGGGATGGGGAGGGGGCACTCAGAATTAGGGATGGGACACTCAGGGTTGGAATGGGATATTCAGGGATGGGAATGGGACACTCAGAAGTGGGAATGGGACACTCAGGGATGGGAATGGGACAATTCAGGGATGGAATTGGACACTCAGGGATGGGAATGGGACACTCAGGGATGGGAATGGGACACTCAGGGATGGAATGGGACACTCAGGGATGGGAATGGCACATCCCAGACCAGGAATGGGGCCCATCCCTCAGTGGCAGCCGCAGGATTTCACCACCATGTTGCGATGCTTCTTGAGGATGACGTTGTTGTTGCTGTCATAGTAGAGGACAGAGGTGGCACTGAGCTTGGTGGGGGCACAGCACGCCTTGGGCACAGCCTCGGGCTTCATCAGATGGACCTGGGGGACATTTGGAACCCATCAGCGCCACCAAACAGCAGAAAAAGCTCCAAACCCACCCAAAAATCCCGGGTGAATGGGGGGATTATTTCCATCTTCCTGTAAAAATATTTGTTCTGAGCTCCAGGCAGTCCCTGCTGCGGTTTGTGTTGGATCAGGTACCAGGCAGCCCCCGCATTAATTTGGGATTTTGGAGCCCTTTTCTCACAAAAATAGATGAATGACTAAAATAAAAAAAAAAAAAAAAAAAAAAAAAAAAAAAAAAAAAAAAAAAAAAAAAAAAAAAAAAAAAAAAAAAAAAAAAAAAAAAATAAAAAAACCATAAATCAGGGCAGCACGGGTCAGGCTCCTGCGCGGGCGCCAGGAGTTTAAAATCTCCGCCCTGAGTTAAAAATCTTAAATCCACAACACCTCTGTGAACACGGCTCAGCTTTGGATCGCTTTTCCCTGCTTGGGAGATGCTTTATCCTGGTTTTCCTCACTCAGGACCCACTTTATCCCGGTGTTCCCCACCCTAGACACATTTTTTCCCAGTTTTCCCCATTCGGGTCATGCTTTTTTTCCATTTTTTCCCGCCCCGAACACGTTTTTTTTCCGGTTTTCCCCATTCAGGACCCTTTTCCCCCAGTGTTCCCCGCCCCTAACAGGCTTTATCCCGGCTTTTCCCATTCGGGACCCGCTTTTTCCCAGTTTTCCCCGCCCCGGACCCGTTTTTTCCCGGTTTTCCCCACTCAGGACCCTTTATCCCGATGTTCCCTGCCCAGAACACATTTTTACCCGGTTATCCCCATTCAGAACCCTTTTCACCCGTGTTCCACGCCCAGAATTCATTTTTTCCTGGTTTCCTCCATTCGCGACACCCTTTTTCCCGGTGTTCCCTGCCCAGAACACGKTTTTTTTCCGGTTTTTCCCATTCGGGACCAGCTTTTTCCCTTTTCTCCCTATTCAGGACCCTTTTCCCCGGTGTTTCCCGCCCCTAACACGCTTTATCCCTATTTTCCCCATTCGGAGCACCCTTTACCCCAGTTTTCCCTGCTCCAGACCCATTTTTTTCCCGGTTATCCCCATTCAGAACCCTTTTCCCCCGTGTTCCGTGCCCGGAAAACATTTTTTCTCAGTTTTCCCCATTCAGGACCCCCTTTTTCCCCGGTGTTACCCACCCCGAGCACGTTTTTTTCCCAGTTTTCTCCATTCAGGACCCTTTTCCCCGGTGTTCCCTATCCAGAACACACTTTATCCCCATTTTCCCCATTTGGAACACCCTTTTCCCCAGTTTTCCCTGCTCCAGACCCGTTTTTTTCCCGGTTTTCCCCATTCGGAACACGCTTTTTCCCGGTGTTCCCCGCCCCGAACACGTTTTTTCCCGGTTTTCCCCATTCAGGACCCGCCCCGAACACGTTTTTTCCCGGTTTTCCCCATTCAGGACCCGCCCCGAACGCATTTTTTTCCCGTTTTTTCCCGTTTTTTCGCCACCGGGCAGCACCCTCCGTCTCTCGCATCACCCGGAGCCCTCTCCAGCCTCCCCCTCCATGTGCGACCGATTTAGGGCAGGGCCGGCCGAGCTCTCCCGGCTCGGAAATCCGGTGTTTTCCCTTCCCCAACCCTGCTATTTGCACTCCCTGGCTCTTCCCAGCACGGCCGGATCCAGGTGATTCACATCCTGGATCCCTTTTGGGAACAGCGATGGTTTTAGGGGTGAGGGGTGGGTGTTTCCCTCACTCTCAAGCTTCCAGGATGGTTCCCAGCCCTCCGGACAGGTCCTGGAAGCTTCGTTAAAGTCAAAATGAAACGAAACCTTCAAAGGGAGGGCCGAGGGCTCGGCGCTCCCTGTAATTAACCGCGAGCACCACCGGAGCCGGGCTGGGAAACCAAACACTCACAGGGCAGGAAATTCCAGAAATTAAAGCGCTGCCTGGGATGTGGGATGGGTTTGGGGGGGGGGAAAAAACACCCCCCAAAAAAAAACAAACCCAAAAAAACGCAACCAAAAAACCCTGAGGCGTTAAAGGTTTCTTGCTTGGAATAGGCTGAGCCCAAGGTTTGAGCGCCCAACCAGATGTGCGAGCGCACATCCAGATGTGCATTTACCTATCCAGATGTGCATTTACCTATCCAGATGTGCTCTCCTCCACTCAGATGTGCGAGCACCCACCCAGATTTGTGACCACCTATCCAGATGTGCAAACAC